TTCGTCCCTGAATCCGACCACTTGAGTGCAAGTGTGGCCAAACATCCTTGTACTTGATTACTTGATAGTAGTAACTGTGATTTTGTCGTCCTTTACCGTCAACTTTAGAGAGGAAAAAAATTATTGTCATCACAAGCCTCATCTGTTGTGTTATTTCACTTGGAGTATGGACAGTTGAATCATGAATAAGAAAATCAGGGCTGGCCCCTAACCATGCAAGGCGATGTTTTGTCAACAACAAAACCACACAGTGAACAGACATTTACACTGTTTAGTTTGTGCGAAACACTCTGCTTCAATGCCTCATTTTTGTTTCCCCCATCTACACAGCATAGGACATGATGTTGACTACTGCTTGTAAGTGTTTTAATTATTGATTTTGGTAAATTGATTTTCTGCTTTTGATAACCAATTACCAAAATTTGTTTGTGTACAAGTCGAGTGTTTTGAATAGCTTCAAGCATGACCACAATAGATAGATATTTGACTCAAAGAATACTAATTAATAGGATGGACTTGTATGTAAACAATACTAATGAAGATGAGTTTTATCAGGTATAAAGCCTCTTCATGTGACATATTATGGTTGACATGACTTGCCGATAAGCTTATCAATTATTAATGACTGTTTGAATTGTATATAGTCAATAATTTGATACAGCATAGCAGCAACATGTTTACATTGGCCTCCCTTGCCCACCTTACATGAACAACGACCATGAACAACATCACCATTTACTTTATCCAAGTGTACATAAACAACATAACTAAGCTTCTTCATTGATGCATCATGCACTGGTACAGTAGCTTTCAGTATAAATGACTTTCTGCTCACACTGTTTGGAATATTAGGCTTTGCTTGAACATTGCTAACATGTCCTTCTTTAAACAGACAATAGCCTAACTTTGCATCTTTCTTAGTATCAGTTGAATTTTGTTGAGAATCCAGGCCCAAGTGTTTTTGAAGTTTATTGTTGGTGAATGGAGGAAGTAACTTCAGATCCCTAGTCCATGGTTGAGTTTCTACTTGAGTATTGTTTGCATTCTTTGAGGTGCTAGGTTCATCTTCATTTTGCCAGATATATTTATTTATGAATTATGTCCTATTATTATAACTGTATATTTTTATAGATACAGTATATTTTACTACTTAATATCAAATTTAACTGTATTTATATTATTAATGTACTGTATTAATTCCCTATTTCAATTTGAAAAATTCTACCTGTAAAAGTCACCTACATTTTTATAAACAATCTATGTTTTAATGTTTACAAAATTTGTACACAAAACTGGTTTTTTAACGAAGTTTTGTGACCAAATATAAAATTATTTTCGAATTTTAGAACAATTTCAGAACCTACTTTAATTCTGGCAAATACAAGAAGATAACAACCAAGACTTTACAAAGGTTTGCAAGACAAAAACAAGCAAAACTCCAGAAAACAAGCGAAAATATGACGGCCGTAGACTAAAACTGCAACATTGGCTGCAAATGTTTGTAATTTTTGCGCCAAAATAGGCAAAGCCAAACAACTACAAGCAAGCCTAGATATGTATAAAATGAAAGCCGAAAAGTTGAAAGCGCAAGCCGAAAAGTTGAAAGCGCATGCCGTATTTAAGGAACAAAAAATGTACGAGAAAATGAGTAAGCGAGTCTAAAATTATTCATACTGAAAGACAGAATGTAGGGGACTGTTGACATATCAAAATGATCTTTTGATCGCTACATAATACCATAACTCACCGACTGCAAGTGAAAGGAACCTAGATTCGAAGGCCATTTTCGTCGAATAAACTGTCGTTCCTTGGTGATTAAAAAGCCGTTTTTCTCAATAAAACAAACGCCGATCCCTTCATCATTCCGTCTACATATAGCAAGGAGATATGATTTTCTCAAGACACGGTTTTTATTCTTTAAGGTTAGATAAAAAGGCTGAAAATCGACAAGATTTCCTTCGGGAAAACATCGCTCCCGAACACTTCGCCATGACAACTCAAATTGACTTTGATAATCAACTACCGGGATGCTTTGCGCGCGTGCTGCTAAAAGGGGAAACGTCTATTGATCGCAGAGGCGATGCCTGCAAGTCGTTCGTTCAGAAGTTAAAGGGTCATAAGTCAACCTTTCGCAACCCGCCGGTAAATATTCTTAAAGAAACACCGTACGAACTCGTCCATAACTATTGCCTGCGAAACAGCAATCCTCCTGCTCCGCTTATATTTAGTGAACGGTTTCGCAACTTTGTTACAATTAAGTATAATTCGTAGGTTTACACTTATTGACCTATTTTTGAACTATAGACTATTGAACATTATAGCATATTTTATCGTTGTAACCGCCTTTAACAGGCTTTTTAAATGTAGATATTGGCAACCTCTGATATAACTTTAACATTGTGACTCTATGTATATATTTTATCTAGTTGTTATTTACAATCGTGTAATTCAGTTTGTACTGCGATACGATTTTATTAAACTAATAATAATAATAATAATAATAATAAAAATAATAATAACAATTGCGACCAGCGAGCGAGCACCAGCGAGCGAGCTGGGAGCATCTTAATCTGTGCGTAGAAAATTTAAATATACCGCTGAGTTCGGATTAGCCCCGGCTCAAGATTCACCGATTCACCTCGGCTTGCATTCCATATTTGGAAC